CACCGAAAAAATTATATTCTTGTAAGTAGAAGATTTTATACTTAAAAAATCTTCTTAAAGATTTTAGATAATATTCTTCCGAAATTAAGAATATATTATTTATTTAAGAATATAGTCTTTTTTGACAGTGAGATATATATATGTTTTTCTATAGAGGCTTTTTTTATATTCTAATCAGTATATATTCTTATCAATATTACTATTTAGAGGATTTCCTCTTAAAATAAGAAACTTTTCCTGGCGCCTATTTTAGTATAAAATATACTTAAAGTAAGTGGGATATCCTCAAAACAAGAATACAATTTTTTCGGTGTACAGATACTTATTTATTTATTGGTAAAACACATTGATAAAAAGCCGATTGAATGCTCATTGCTACTTTCGAATTATTTCTCTCCACCAATCGCGCGCGGATAGATTATACATCTAATTGTGATTATATATCTAGTTGGGTTTTTTTAAAAAATTTATATTAACATTTAATTACTAATTATATTCTTTCGATCAGTTCTTACGGGCCAGTTTTATATAAATCTTCTTTTCTTCCGTTATTATTACGTGATATATTTACGTGATTTAAATCTAATCAAATTAAATTATTTCAAAAAGTGTTTGTTAATGTTACAGTAACGTATATTTGAGCGAATATCTCGGATCGTCAAGTGTGTCCTTGTGGATTTGAGCTGTAGAGGAGACGACAAAGTCGGCCTATAGGCGCGTTTTGATAAGGAACAGCATCATCCCTATCTTAAGGGTCGGAAACGAGAGGACGTACGAAGGAAGAGGGCGGGAGAGACAGAGAGGAGGAGAGAAAATGGCGGCCTGGAGGGTAATCCGACACCAAATCGAAGGAGACGCCATCGCAAAGCGCGGCGCCGCCCCTTTATCATTGGGTCTTGGCTTCGACACGGTGTCATCCTTGCGTATATAGTTAAGAATCGGAATAATTATTATAATTTTTTTATGGACACATATATTTTCTGACCGCATCAAAATATATTGCAACGAAAAAAAACTCAGTTCGAATTAAAGTGTCGACGGTCGTCACATATTTGAAAAATACTATTTAATTCAAATATTATTTATTTACATAAATGTTATTACATTTTATGTTTTTGTCTGTTTTAGGTCTATTTATTGTTACACGAAAAAACAAGCTTTTTTCTAGAGAATTAGGCTTTTGTAACTTGAAAATTTACAGGGAAAGATATAAACATTAAATTGTCGCTAAAAATATTGTCTTTGAATTTATAAAAAAAAAACAATTAATCTCTTAACTCTTTTCTCATAATTTACTTCGCCTCGCAAATAACTTATAGATATTTTTGGTAAGATATAAATAAAATTTTTTATTTATATCTTTTACGCATTTAAAATCACACTTTTGCATTATTTATTTTTATTGTATTTTAAATCAAGTTCAAAATGAGTTGCTCTGTAACTGCTTCTTTGAATTCTGATTTCTTCGAGAGCGTGTTATGCTACGTCTGCATCGTAGGATATGTACGAATGGCAATTAGCCGAAAAAGGCGGGGACAATTCAAAGGATTGGCAAGGCGTAGCGAAGAAAGATGTCTTCGGTCATCTCCTGGTTGCATCGGCTCTCCTTGATACATAACGCCTGTCTGCCAGACCTCGCTATTTTCAACCACCCGATTTCCGTCACACGAGAAACACTAAATTTATAACACTCGTCGTAATTTTTTTTTCACATTAAAATAAACCTCGTGAGCTATGATTCACCTATAATAGTGAATAATAATTAATTAAAACAGTTCTAAATTTTTATTAAGAACGTTTCGATCATTTATTTGTGATCATTTTTACAAATAAATCAAAAGTACATTTTATTTATGTTTTACAAAAAAGTAATCATATTATGTATTAGAATAGAATATAATTTAAAAAATTCATTTTAATGAACAAAAAAATTTTTTAATTATTACGGCTTGTCAACCAAAGAAAGCCAAAACAACGATGAGTATCAAACACTATATAACAACACTACATAACAATGTCACATTAAAATGTTTGAAAATTCATAATAAAAGATAAATTATTAATTATAAATAAATTATGTAAAAAAATTAAATTGAGTTAAAAAGTGATGTAAGGAAATAGCAAGGAAAAAAATGTAAAAGTCAAATTGTAAAATTTACATAGTTAAGAATAAAATAATTTTAAATTGTCATAATAAAAAAATAAACAATTGGATAAGCTCGTAAGAAAATAAAAAACAGAATATTAGAGCAGAGTCAAAACATAAGATATATATGTGTGCGTTATTTATATTGATTAATAAAACTAAAAAACTTAAAGTATAATTTGAAAAGATAAACATAATTGTAAAATATAGTAACACTAGCTATCAGTTGCCAATTGTAAAAAACCGTTAATCGTCTTCAACCGCCAACAAACCGTCATAAATAAAATCAAAACCATATTTTTATTACGTGACATTTATATCACAAATGCAAAAAAAAGAAAACACAAATTATCTTAAGTCTAAACGGAAATGGATTCTGAAGATAAACACGAGATTATCTTCTTGACCAACGGAAAATATTAACCGAGTTAATTCCGAGTGTTTTTCATCAAAGATGCTTACTGATTACAGATTGAATAGTCAAAATTTAAATAAAAGTTTTGTTGGTGATTGGAAAAATCTTTGTGCGTAATTGTCCATCCGTCAATCCTTTTGGGACGTTTATCAATTATATCATTCTTATACATATATATATATTTATAATATGATTATTATTATTTTGTTAAACATGAACAAAAAATGTGTTTTTGATGTTTTTTTATTGATTGGTTGAAAATGATATCAAGAATAACAAATCAATAAACAATCGAAACGTCTCAACAGAATTATAACTGTTTTTAATTAATTATTACCCACTACCGTCGGTGGGTCACAACTCACAAAGTTTACTTCTCAATTTGGATTTTTTCTCTCTTCAAAATCTTGTTTTTTTTTATTAAGTAATTTCCACGTAATTATATACATATATATGTATCAAAAATTATATTAAAAAATCTTTTAATTACTTACATCTATTTACAAATAAATACAAAACGTTTCTCTATTTTTACCTCAAAAATTTTATTAAAAACTTTCTTGATAAATAATTAAATTTGTTGTAAATAAATACAAAACGTTTCTCTATTTTCACCTTAAAAATTTTATTAAAAAATTTCTTGATAAATAATTAAATTTTTTGTAAATAAATACAAAACGTTTCTCTATTTTCACCTTAAAAATTTTATTAAAAACTTTCTTGATAAATAATTAAATTTTTTGTTCAATAATATTTGGTTTCAATAAATTGCGAGTATAATATAAACTTTGATGTCAGATTGTAAAGTTATAAGACAAGGGTGAAATGTCGTATGTATGTACAAAGATGTAACGGGAAACGATACGATGATCGTGAATGAACGAAACCGATCTCGATTATGTACGAGTTCGTATTCTGGCCGATCTACGGTTACGTTTGTCGTTGGATCATATTTGTAGAAATGTGTATCATAATACGACTCCGGAGATGAGCCGTCGACCTTCGCGAGAGGATAAAATCTTATCACGTAAAGTAAACGTTCTAAAAAAAAAAAAAAAGCTTGATACTGTCTTTACTTTACAACGGTGAGAAGTCATCAAGAAGTCATTTTTAAATTTCTTCGGAATATAATATATGTATAGAAAATAATAATTGGAATAATATTCTTATCACAATAAGTACTCCAAAGGAGATCAGAGCCGAAAAAGGACTTACGATTGTAGGTATAGGCTCCGAAAACTACTCACAATAAGTACTCCACTTGAAATTGAAAAAAGTATGTAATAATTTTTCGATTGTTTTATTTCTAATGTTTGGTGTTTTTCTAATTTTGCATTTTGCCGCAAAGATGAGATAAATGTCAAATTTGCAAATGTGTGTCAAGAATGTTATTGTTTAATCTCTATTGATTTTTCATACATAGGGACATACACAGTATGTATATAATATATATATGTATGTTAGGTCTAACGGAAAGTTCTGTCCGTTTTTGGAATAAAACAAAATTACAAATTTTTCTTACCGTCAATAAACTTTATTAAATAATATATAATTGCCATTATTGTTAATGATTTCTTGCCAGTGTGAGAACAATTTGTATATCCCATTTTTGAAAAATTAAGAAAAATTTGTATTTTGTTTTTATTCCAAAAACGGACAGAACTTTCCGGTAGATCTAATATATACGCATGATTATTCAAAACCGTATAAACGTCTGAGTAATAATTTATCTACTGATTTACTGATAGACTTCCTTCCCCAATCTACTGACGAAGGGTTGATTGTTGTCGGTTGTTGTGAAATTAGTCAAACACAGAAGAAGCGATAGCACCGCTGTGAAATCACAACACGGTGTACGGTAACGTTGACACGTTCCGTTTCCGGTGTTTATTGGTCTACTGGTGTAATCCGTGATTTCTCAACCGGCTCCGCGATAGCGGAAAACAGTATCTCTACCTCACGTGGAACAGCGCACAAAATCGCTGAACTCCGTCAAATCAAAAGCGACGCGTAAAAATAAAATTTTTGTTTTGATAACCAAAAGTTTCTCTTTATTTTCCGTATTATAAATTCAAGTTTCAAAAATAAAGTTGTATAAAATGTGATAAGATAAAAAAAAAAGAATCTCACTAATTTACAAATTATAATAGTTCAAAAAATTGTTTCTATAATTTGACAATGCGCAAGTTAATTAAAAATAAAAGAAAAATACAAAAACAGTGAGACGGAACAAATAATGATACAAGTGTTCAATAAAATCTCTCAATGGAGTATCTGGGGGAAAGAAAAAAAAAAAAAAAAACAGTCGCACTATCATGATTTGTCACAGTTACATAAAAAAGAATTACGCCAGATCCGGCCTCGAGGAGGAAGGAAGAAATCGTCGGAATTCGATATATCCAGGTAATCGGTCCGTCTCTTCGCTGAGGTCGCGCCAGGTGAGAATATAGCGACGGAGTACACGTAGTAGAAGGAAACACTGACGGGGTGAAATCCTACGTCGGGGGTAGAAGTTGCACCGCCCCCGTAGACCAATGGAGGGATGTAACGACCAATCGCCGCGCAGGCGGCTTCTCTCGCGCGTCCCAGTCCAAAAAAAGAGGAGGACGAACGAAGCAGAACGAAGAGAGAGAGAGAGAGAGCGAGAGAGAGAGAGAGAGAGAGAGATGGCGACCGAGTGAAGAGAGTTAACGGACATCGTGAACGAGACGAAACTCTCCGTTACGATAGAACTTGGTTAGTGACGGTTCGGAGCAGAGAGTTGATCTTCGGAGCCCGGGCTAACTTCGGTGACTTGCTGGCCATATACCCCCGCTGCGCGACAACAAGTGTTTCTTTTTTTTGTGCGATAGATCTCCTTGTGAATCAACCACCAAGTTATTATTCCTTTTAATAGAAATAGACACAGTGTTAGTTATGAAACAAGTGATTCTATAAAAAAGATTTATAATCGTGTAACCACATAATGGAATCGTAGCGGGAGATTGTCCTTGTTCTACCCTTCGCAGCGGATGTTGTTTCATTTTCAAGATACAAAGTGAAAGAGACTGAGATTTGAAAATACGCACCTGATATGAACCCAGGAATAAACACAACACGTACAACACACAAACCGGCTTAACTGACAAAAAAAAAAACAATATTCGAACGATAAGAAATATGAATGAACAAGCAGAGCAAAGAGAATTGTCGCGGAGCGGCGAAATTTATTGCGAAAAGTATCGTAATACACTTACATAATTTTTCTCTGGATGAATCGTCGTCAAAATAGGAACGCGCACAACAGGTTTTGGTATCGGATGACTCCGGGAACTCAGGCTCGAAGTTATTCGCTTACGACGCGGTAATCAGACGCGATTTTTCTGAAGGGCAAAATATAAATTTAATTCGAAAGAAATGAAGTTCAACAATTTTACGCGCTTGTTACAGTAGTGGAGTATTTACGTACAAAGTGGGTCTTTCACGATGATCGAACAACAAGAATTTATTTGTAAATCGAGAGAGAGACAGAATTTGCGCGACGAAATGTGCGGACCAGTTTCCGCAAAGACGATTTCATTGTCCCTACAGAAATGTACATTAACATAAAAATACAATTGTTGTATCGATTGTGTTTCTTACGTACTCTCTCTCTCTGTGTGTGTGAGTGTGTGTTTGTGTGTGTGTGTGATCAATTAATAAATTTTAAAGCTCGCAAGAGATCGGTTTCCGCAAAACACATCTTGCGATGATTTTCGCGCAAAGACATTTTTTTAATGAACGATTTTTAACGTGTGGATATAAACAAAACACGAGTGTGCGTGATTAAACGTGATTATGCCAATTCAAATAGAGATGCTTCCAGTTGTTCATTCCGATTCGTGAAAGACGACACCACGATAGTATTTTAATTTGAATTGAAAATAAAGAAGCGCGCAAAGAGTGCGCGCCGCCAAGAGAAGAGACTCTTGGTTTCTTCGAGAGTAAAGTATTGCGCAATAAAAAAAAAAAATCGTTCGAGTGAGAAGAGAAAACAATAACAATACAATGAACGAATCATCATCATCACTTTCGCGATGTGACTCGCGTAGAATTTTGTCGGGAATATATCGGTGAAGCCGCGCGACAAAAACCGCGGAGCGATCTGTCGTTTGTTTGTGCGCGCGACACACAAATTGCTCTTTCTCCAAACACAATTTAAACAAGAAAAAAACTGTAGATAATATTATCATCGAAAGCTTTGCAAGTACAAAAAAAAAAAAACTGTGCGCGAGGAAAATTTTTATTTTTTTTTTTTCGATAATTTCTTTTCGCGCTCTTCTTTTTTTTTTGGCGAATGAAATTCGAAAATTCGGTTTATGTCCGACACCTCGGTACACACATCAGTATTAGAAGCCAAGGATGTCGGATAGTTCGGATCAGCTGTCTTCGCCGAACAGCGATTGCAACAGCCAAATGGGTGTCGTGCATCGCAATACTGCCGCGCAGTATGGTAGCGCAACGTCAATATCCGGTCTCGCATTAGCGCATCATTCCCAAAATCTAACGCCCACGTCAAACGGTAGCCCGCAGTATCCGCAGGAATTGTCCGCTTGCAGTTCCGTGACCACCAACATAAGCAACATCGGCGGGCTCTCACTCGGCAGCAGTACCGCCAGTAATTTCACACCCGAGCAAATAGCCTGCATGTGCGAGGCCCTGTCACAAAGCCAGGACATAGAAAAACTGTCGAGGTAATCTTTTTCTCTATTATTAGGCATTTTTTGATAAATATTTACTATTATATTTAAGAGCTCTGTCTTTGTAAAACAAATATACGCAAAATATATGCATTTTAAAAGTGAAAAACTTTTTCTTTCATAAAAATAATCTTACAAAACTTAATATTAATCTTTCGAAAGCGAAATAAACTAATGAAAAGCGTTCGAGATTTGGTTTAAAAACATTTAAAAATTAAATTTTCAATCACAAAATCGTCTTTCTCTCTTTTTCTACACCGAAAAAATTGTATTCTTGTTTTGAGGATATCCCACTTACTTTAAGTATATTTTATACTAAAATAGGCGCCAATAAGAGTTTCTTATTTTAAGAGAAAAATCCTCTAAATAGTAATATTGATAAGAATGTATACTGATTAGAATATAAAAAGCCTCTATAGAAAAACATATACATCTCACTATCGAAAAAGACTATATTCTTAAATTAAGTATATATTCTTAAATAAAGAATATATTCTTAATTTCAGAAGAATGTCATCTAAAATCTTTAAGAAGATTGTTTAAGTATAAAATCTTCTACTTACAAGAATATAATTTTTTCTGTATATATATATATATACACGTACACCGAAAAAATTGTATTCTTGTTTTGAGGATATCCCACTTACTTTAAGTATATTTTATACTAAAATAGGCGCCAAGAAGAGTTTCTTATTTTAAGAGGAAAATCCTCTAAATAGTAATATTGATAAGAATATATACTGATTAGAATATAAAAAAACTCTATAGAAAAACATATATATCTCGCTATCGAAAAAGACTATATTCTTAAATAAAGAATATATTTTTAATTTCAGAAGAATATCATCTAAAATCTTTAAGAAGATTTTTTAAGTATAAAATCTTCTACTTACAAGAATATAATTTTTTCGGTGTAAAAAGAAAAAATCAAAACGAAGCTTTCAATCAATTGCTCTATTTACTTCTCTTTCTATTTTCTCTTTTGTTAATTGTTTTATACTTTCTTCGCATATTTTCTTTATTTATATTCATTTTTTTAATTTTTCTCACATTACTTGTATATTGATCTTTTGATTACGTTGCGCTTGATTTTGAAAATTTTTTTCACAGCGCTAAAAAAAAAATAAAAATAATCATTTGATCAATCTCGTACAAATGATTCTGACCTCATTGTCAAGGAGTTAACAAAAACTTTATTTTTTTGTTAACGGCGGCATTTTATCAGATTTCTTTGGTCTCTGCCACCTGGAGAACTGTTGCGCGGTGGTGAAAGCGTACTGATGGCGCGTGCCGCCGTTGCTTTCCACCGTGGGGCCTATCAAGAACTCTACTCGATTCTCGAGACCCACCCTTTCTCCCCGCGTCGTCATCCCGAACTGCAGCAGATGTGGTTCAAATCGCATTATCGCGAGGCCGAAAAGATCCGCGGACGACCACTAGGTGCCGTTGACAAGTACCGTCTGCGTAAAAAGTATCCGCTACCGAAGACTATCTGGGACGGAGAGGAGACCGTTTACTGCTTCAAGGAGCGATCGAGGAACGCCCTGAAGGAGTGCTACATGAGAAATCGATACCCAACGCCGGACGAGAAAAAGAACCTCGCCAAGAAGACCGGCTTGACGCTGACTCAGGTGTCCAACTGGTTCAAGAATCGACGACAGCGGGACCGCACGCCGCAGACAAGAACGTGAGAAAGCTTTTCTTTTTTTACAGACCTATATAATTATAATTATTTTTTTTACACCTAAGTTAAGAATTTTATCAATTACAAGAACTCGTTGTTGCTCAAATTTAAAGCGTGGTAATATTTACATAATTAAAAAAATCGCAAATATATTACGTGTGTGTATATAAAGATAACAAGTGAAAAGAGAGCCAATACAAGCTGCGAACAAGGGTTCGTGTTTTGATGATCTGTTCAATTTTCTGACGTTTCGATCCGCATTAAGATCCTCTTCGGTGACAAAGAGACTTTCACGAGCGATCTCAATTGAGACTTTTATGAGCGAAAACAGAAAAAATATTCGACAAGTTTTGTTTCTGTAGATTCAATATATACAATTCAAGAGATCCTACAACACAATTGAACTTGATGAAAACGACAAACGTTTTCCACTTAGCGTAATGCACTTGACTTTTTTTCAATTTCTCATTTACACTTCTCTCTGTATCTCATCAGGTTTTCTCACAATATGTCGTGTCGTTTTACGAAAATTTATTGATGACGCTCGAACGAGGGTTTTCCTGTTTCATTCTTCTTGGAAAGAAAAGAGACCAAATGACGAATCTTGTATCCCATTCTGTATGTTTCACATAAATATGTACCACACTTATTGTTAATTTAAGTAGAAAACAACACACATGAAAAATTAAACTCTAAACTCATTTAAAGGATAAATAAACTACTTCGATATGTTTATTCGTAAGATATATTCAAAAGTGTAATACGCACACACACACACATACGCATATATATTATGTGTACCTTATCTCTCAAGATCTTGTGCGCAAGTATGCGACTATACTTTATCTACGAAAAAGTTGTGACGTGACTTTTTTGTGTCCGTCACTATATATATATATATATAATATATATATATAGTGACTATATATATATATAATTTATTGTGACTATATATATAATATAGTGACTATATATATATATATATGACTATATATAGTATTGTGACTATATATATATATATATGACTATATATAGTATTGTGACTATATATATATATTATATATATATAGTCACAATAGATTATATATATATATATATAGTCACTATATATATCGTCACTCCCTACGTATAATTACATAAGTGTCACATATGGGATTTTCAGTTTATTGCATAGTGACACTCAGAAAGTCATGTTCTTTGTGGTCACCAAGTATTAAAAAAAAATATTCATAAGTAAGGTAAAAATTTAAAACCGAAAGATTCCTTAACTAAGGAAACTATATGAAGCTTTAAACTTTTAAACTGCTCTCCTCTAAAATTTGCGTTATTTTGGAGTTACGGGATTATACGTAGGGAGTGACGATATATATATATATATATTTTATATATATATATATAAAATATATATATATATATATATCTTTTATATA